AAAGAGTTTGATCTTCTTGTGAAATGAGAGCAAATGAGAGAAGTGAGGAGAGAGGATGAATATTCAGCTCTCAAAAACGTGGGAAAGAGTCAACACTCCACCTCTTTGTACTTTACCCACTTGCTTTCATTATTTAAATAATGATTTTTATGAAAATATGATTAAATTGTGAATATTTAGGGTTTATTATGTTAAAATATGATTTTGGGTGAAAATCCCGCGTTAAAATAATTAAAAACGGGCCTTAAACGCAAAACTACGCGAAAACCGGGAGAAAATGAGTTCCCAGCGAGACCTCTCGGTCCTAGGCCGAGGTTCAGTCCCTAGGCCGAGACTCGGTCCATGCTGAGGTTTGTAGCCGGAAACGAACAGAGGGAAACGAAGGGGCGAGGAGGTGAGAAACGAGAAGGCGCAAACCGGAAGTGAGAGGCGAAGGCGAGGGTTCGGTCCGGTGATGAAAGGCGAGAAGTCAGAACCGAACGGACTGTAGTGAACAGTACCTTCGGTTCGGTTAGTGAACAGTACCTTCGGTTCGGTTAGTGAACAGTACCTTCGGTTCGGTTTCGGTTCCTTGCTCTCGGGTTCGGTTCCTCCTGGGCGAGGTTCGGCCCTGAGAGGACCTTCGGCTCAGGAGGGTTCGGCTCCTCCTTGCTCTTGGTCCCTAAGAGGACCTTCGGGTCCTAAGAGGCTTCTCTCTTCTCGAGAGGTTTCGGTTCCTAATGTCCATTTTTCTCGTTTTTACCCCGTTTTAAGCCGTTTTTGACCCGGTTAAGGGTCGGAATGACCCGAATGATTCCAACAAGTTACGGGAAACTTTTGAGAGAGATTTGGGAGAGATTTCTCACACTTGGAGAGATTTGGGAGAGATTTGACATTCTTGGAAAGATTTCTCATACACAGAGATATTTGCGAGAGTTTTCACATACTTGGAGAGATTTGGGAGAGATTTGACATTCTTGGAGAGATTTCTCATACAGAAAGATATTTGAGAGAGATTTCACATACTTGGAGAGATTGGGGAGAGATTTAACATTCTTGGAGAGATTTCTCATACAGAGAGATATTTGAGAGAGATTTCACATACTTAGAGGGATTTGGGAGAGATTTGACATTCTTGGAGAGATTTCTAATACAGAGAGATATTTGAGAGAGATTTCACATACTTAGAGGGATTTAGGAGGGATTCGACATTCTTGGAGAGATTTGACATAGAGAGAGATAGAGTGAAAACGATTGAGAGAGGATCCATGTGTGACAATTGTGAGTGTCTGGCATCGCAATGCATGGTTTGTAAACCCTGTTAAGCCTTGTTTAAGGATCTTACACACTCCCGATGAGTATGCATCATTGCTTTATCGGTTTGGCTCGCCACGTACTACAGTTTTAGGTTAAGGAGATCTAGATGTTCGCACTTTTTGTTTTATGATTTCTCACTAGAATAGAAGTTATGTAGAAGTTTCTTAGTGTGAATCTTAGTACTCATGGGCAAATTGAGTCAAATGGTTTGACTTGCTGACTTTAGTTGACTTTGACTTGACCGAAATTTGACGGTTGTCACAGTTCCAGACATCAGTCCGATGCAGGGGACAAGGTCCCAGACAGTTCCGGACTACGGTCCGATGCAGTTTCCGGGCTTCGGTCCGATGCAGTGGGCAAGGCCCAGTACGTTCTTATATGTTATTGTATGGTATGTGGTAGTTTGGGGAAGCTCACTAAGCTTCGTGCTTACAGTTTCAGTTTTGGTTTCAGGTACTTCCGCAAGTAAGGGGAAGAGCTCGGGATGATGGCATCGCACACACCACAGCTTCAGTCTTTATCCTGGGAGTTTGTTTTGATTCATAGTTTGATTTGATACAATTGTTTCACGACATTTTATTATGAGTTGAGATATTTGACGTATGGTTTTTATGATATGACGATCAGTATATATGATTTTTATTACTATTAAAATATAATTTGGCTCGTATTTTAGGATGTTACAGTGTCCATTGACAACCTTATCACCCATGTAGATTCGTCATTATACATGGAGCTTCATCCATATCAAAAACTATTAGTTAAGGTCCCCATATTATCATTGTTCTCTTTTCATGTCTTTATATATCATGTTTTTATGACTAATTGATTTATGGTATTCCTTAGTTGCCTTTAATTTGCTTGTTTACATTGGACATCATAACAAATTATTGATGCAAATGGATTCACGTAGGACTCGGTCTGAAGTTCATGCTTGAATAGTTGACCCTCTATTCAGGACCTCAAAACATGATTTCTCATCAAAAAAAAACCATAAACCATTTGCTGACATGAGGCTATGCCCATGTAATTCTATGGAAACACCCAACCTGTAAATTGCAATACTATGGCCTATTTGGCATAGGGGGTTAGTGGTAGGGTATATTGTAATCAACAAATATCAAATTTGGTTTCAGATTTGTTAAAGTTAAGCTAAACTCTCTTAATTACTAGCAATTAATAAGTATTATGTTTCTGGTTAAAACGGTTACTATGTGAACCATTAATTGTGTTGGTTTGAGTCAGTATAGTTTGAACCATAGCATTGGTTAGGAGACTTTGTAAATTTGACTGTTACACGATAAGAGTAGTTATTTGTATGTAAATTTGACTTTGTAAATTTAACTATTACACGATAAGAGTAGTTATATGTATGTAAGTCTAACGTAATATTTTCTTTTGGGGTTATATCAATAAAAGTATTTGTTTGTGTATAGGACCCATCGTCTAATTGACTCCTTTTCCATTATCTTTTTGGTACTTTTGTGTTCATCTAATGCTTCATTCTAATATAGTGGTATGAGAGCATTATTCTAGATATACAGATCAAGCATAAAACGCAGGGGTGAGGAAGAGTGATAACAAGACAAATAAGGGTATCATTTGCTTTATGAGGTATTTTGGCCTTTATGGTGGAGCTTCCCAATAGATGTCACATGGGAGTGGGTGTAAAAAACTTTATTGACCCCCCCCCCCCTAATACACACATACAAATATTATAACGAGTAAGAATGAGAACATTCTGAAATTTGTTGGTGATTTAATATCATCAATATAATTTAAGTATAATAGGATTAAATTTGTTGACCAAAAATGATCTAGTTAAATATGGAACAAGTTAGGATGGTGGAAGAGTACACACTTGTTTAAGTTTTCAAAATTCAAAGTACATTGTTATTTAGGGGCGAAACCCCTAAATGAACGGTGGTCCGGGGCGCACCCCTTGGAGTGGAGTCCAAGGGGGCAGAGCCCCTGGCTGGGGTTAACAGGAATCATATAGCCAGATTTTTGGGTTATGTTGTTATATTAAAAAAATGCATCAAAAATCTGATTTTTAGAAAATGGACTCATTTTGACCCTTTTCCCTAAGATCTGTTTTTATCACAGGTTTGAGCAGTGTTATGACAGTTTCTAACCATCTTGTGATAGTTTTCAGGAATCATATAGCCATTTTCTTTATCATTTTCTAGTATACTTCTTCAAGAACAAAATCACTTACATTCTCTGATTTCGTAATCTTTGAATTTCATCCGGTTGAGTGTTCGATCTATACCATCGAAATGTAACACTCAATTTCCGATCTGAGGTGTTTGCCAAGTGTGTAATTTCTATTTGGTACTCAGCGAGTTGGGGTGCCTTAACTCGGGTAGTCGAGGTGCTTTTTAGCCGCAAGTTTAATGAACCAACACGATGAGTTGAGGAGCCTCAACTCAGCGAGTTGGCAACTGGGAAGGAAGCCCTGATTTTTAGGGATTTGCACCGTATTTAAAGGACTTAAGTCCCTTGGATGGCCACCTTACCAGCCTCTTCTGTCCAGAAATCCTAAATTTGAGTCATCTTCCATAGTTGAGTGTGTGATCTTGTGGAGAGCTTGGAGTGTTGATTTTTGATACTCGTTTGAAGGAGCCTTAAAGTGAAGGTGTCTAGCTTGGTGGAAAGGCTTTAGATCCAGAACTTCCCCACTCATTGCAGTCTCTTTGAGGTATAAATCTTGTATCTTGCTTCTTCATTGATTAAATCTCTTCTTTTGGGGTTTTATTTTGATTAGTGGACTCTTTGATGGATTTTCCAAGGATTTGAGTGTTTCATGGGTTGTCATTTTAGATCTGGCCATTTTGTGGCCTCATTTGGCTTAAAGTTGCAAGCTTTATGAGGATTTCGGTGTCATGCATTAATTAAGCCAATTATTAAGTCCATTTTAAGCTTCAGAGATTCATTTAGATATGCATGAATGTAAAGTTGGCAACTTTACGTGGTTTTCCAACTCAAGGAAATCAGATCTAGGTTTTGGGGTCATGTCCTTATGGATTGAGTGCTTATTGTGTTAAGTTGTTAGGGTTTGGGTGAACTTTGCGATTTTATTGATAAACTCGGCGAGTTGGTTCAGTTTTTCCAGACTTTTCAGTTAAATGGAAAAACATGGCGAGTTGAAGGAATAACTCAGTGAGTTAGGTCAAATCGGGCCGTTGACCTTGACTTTTTGACTTTTATCTTCGACCAAGTTGTCCTAAGCGAGTAATTGAGATAACCTTAATTATAATAAACAAAATTATGGGCTTAGGTTAAGACTCATATGAGGTTGTGCCCAATTTGGAAAATTAGGCCATTAGTGGGCTTTTGTGGATCTTTTGGTTTTGGACCTTTTGGTTAATGGATTTAGGCCTCAGTTTTTGTTCATGGTTGGCCAAGGGTAAAATGGTCATTTTACCCCAAGTTTGGATGGTGGGCCTTAGAAGGGAACCCAATTGCTAATTAGGTGTTATTTTGATCTGATAGATCGGAGGTGTCATCAAGGCAGCAACTAGGGATTCTTGCAGCTTCAGTATTCGAGGTGAGTCTCCTCACTGTTCTGTGGGTCGAAGGCACCAATTTTAGTCCATTTGGTTTATATATTATAGGAAGACCTCGGGGTAACCTAGCAAACTGTATGCAAGACCAAAGTTTGAACTCTAGCAGTTACTTAGTTAAGTAGTATAGATTGTATGCTAGTTGTCTTTGTGATACTTGCATGGAAGACCTGGAGGTGGCTCCTGACACATGTCTGTAAGACCCATGGTTTTGGCCCCGCCTAGCAAGGAAGACCACGCGGCAGCTCGTGACATAATGGCAAGACTATGAATGACACATAGCACCTTTATTGATTGTGGTATATGTATAATAAGTATGGCTCAATGATATGTATATTGTTTATGGCTTGTTTGGTATGTGTGGTATGTGATATTTGGGGAACTCACTAAATTTTGTCCTTACAGTTTGTGGTTTATGGTTTCTGGTACTTCCAGCTCGAAAGGAAAGGGCTCGGCTTGATCGCAGTGCATACACCCGTGTTTTCTACAATGTGTGATCTTTAGGAATGAACTCTGATAATTTTTTTATTTTGAAATGCTTTTAAATGTTTGGATAAAGTTACAATGGTGTTTTGATGATAATAAAATGAAATTTTTGCCCTTGATTTTTGGGATGTTACACTGAATACTTCAATTTGATAGTGAATCACGACTTTCAGAGAATCCAAGCAAACTGTTCATCCCTTATTTCTAACAAAATCTATGGGCTACAATGGATATGGACAAAAAGAAGGGTTGTAAAAAGGTTTCAATTTATGGTGCATAAGGCCAAGTGAAAAGATCTTGGTGTGAATTATGTTTGTTTGTTTGATGTCTGATATAAATATGGTTGCTTGTATAGATGATGCTCTCCATAGCTACTTTAATGTTCAAAATTGGTGTTGAAGTAATGGTTTGAGGAAGGAGAATTGAAGAAGTTGAAGTGGAAACCCCTAATAGTTAGTGTCTTTAATCTTTTAATGAAATGGGTGGAATGGATCAAGCTTACCCTTAAGGGGAAGTGTTAAAGTTAAGCTAAACTCTATTAATTACTAGCATTTAATAAGTATTATGTTTCTTGTTTAAACACTTCGAGTGAACCATTAATTGTGTTGGTTTGAATGGATATAGTTTGAACCCTTTTGTTGGTTAGGACTTAGGAGACTTTGTACCTGTCCAATAAAAGTCTTTGTTTATGTATAGGACACATCTAGGGGTGCAAACAAGTCAAGCTACTCGCAAGCTACTCGGGATCGACTCGTTAAAAGTTCGACTCGAAACGAGCTTAATATTAAGCTCGTTTATTAAAAGAGATTGAGCTCGAGCCTATTTCACTAAGCTCAATTAGGCTCGCGAGCCTAAACGAGGTTTTATATAATATAATTTATTATTATTTTCATATATTAAAATAAAAACATATTTGCGAAATTATAGATTTCGGGTATTAGTAAACGAGCTTCTTAACGAGCTTGAGTCGAGCTTAAGCTTATTTAGGCACATTAAACGACAAACGAGCCGAGTCCGAACCCGAGCCGAACTTGTATAATTCTTTACGAGCCCGAGCCGAGCTCAATAAAAGAAAGCTCGAATCGAGCCGAGCTGGAGCTCGAGCCTTGTATAACTTAAACGGGCCTGAGCACATCCTCTTGTTGATTCCTTTTCTCTTATCTTTCTTATATTTTTGTGTTAATCTACGCTTCATTCCAACAAGATCTACATACAAACTTCTCCAAAGTTCTCTTATAAATGTAAACTACGTGCCACAAGTAATAATTCTTAGAATCAACATAATCATCTTTACTTCTATTATATATTTAACAGAAAATTGTTGCAGTACGTGATTGTAACTATAGTTCATCTATGACCTAAAAAATTTTGGAATGATTAATCTTCTCCAACTCGTTAACAATATAGCGTTGCATATGGCCTCAAACTTTAATATCTATTAATTCTTCAAGCCATGGCCAACTCCTAAAAATTGGCATGAAGAACGAATGTATAATATAACTAATCACAAGCATTAGTAGATCATGGCTCTACAAAAATCAATCTCAGATCTCCAAATTACTTACTTGACTCGATAGGTGTTGGAAACGGTAAAATCTAGAGAATATTAAAAAACTTCTTACAACTAATTCAAAAAAAAAAAAAAAACAGCTTAAAAGTTATTGCACATCCAAAGAGGAATGAAAAACAGATAATAGACTAGTTAAGGGGAAATTACTTACTTGACTCGATAATTCTCAAGATATGATTTGGTTCTTTCTCTCTAAATGCATCAGTCTTCTGAGCCAAAACTAAGAGGACATCACTGAGTAATTTCTTATTGGAGGTGAGTTGGGTGCAATCATTCACTATTTTTCCAGCAACTTCTACAAAAAGGTTAGGTATGCGAAAATGTTATGATTCATGCAAAGATCATCCACACGGTTATAGAGTTAAAGCATGATTTTTTGAACAGAAAATATGTATGGAAATGGGTCACTCTTTGTATAATATAATTTTAATGGATCAAATTGGTAAGATTTTAGTAAAATTAGTTATAGAAAAAAGGTTGAATTGGATTAATGGTTGAATGACTTGAATCTAATAAGATGATAAAGTTGTTTTTATGGAAGATGTGCTCAAGAACTAACCCAAGTTAATAAGTGCCCAATTTTATGAGAAACCATTATAAATATTAAGAGTTTGTAACAACTACTTACCATAGAGATCACCTTCGACACATTTTTTGAGAACCCAGCCCCGCATCTCATTCGTCCAAAAATCGCCAGACATTTTTTTGGAGATATCATAGAGACACGTCACCATATCGTAATTTCCACTTACGGCAGCCACATAAAGTGGCATCATCCCTTGACTACCAGGGATTTCTAGCACTGCTTTGTTCTTTTCTAAAATTATTTTTGTTGTTTCGACATTTCCTACCATAGCTGCTAAACTGAAGGCAGTGTTATAACTTTTATTTTGTAATTCCATATCCTTCTTTTCCATCAATTTCACTAAATTTTCAACAAATTCTTTCGAAGATCTGGTGCTTTCTGCAGCTGCTGCAATGTGAAGTGGTGTATCAAAATTTTTTGTGACAGCAAACCTTACTAGCCCAGGTTTTATATCAAAGATGGCTTTAGCAGCTATCCAATCCCCTTTCATTAATGCTTCAAAAAGTGGAACACAAAACTTGATGTAGTCTTCTCTAGTACCTTCACATAAGTAATTTCAAAATCAAACTAAGTATTGTGTTATCGTATGCGTAAATGTGGGTCAATCAAAATTAAATAAAAAATTAAATAATTAAATAAATAAATAAGGGTAAATTAGTCATTTGTTTAATAACTTCCGAAAATAATCCCTATAATCATGGTATTTCTCCAGTTTAAATCTCCTTCCCCTCTTTATCTAAAAACCGATTTCTGAAAACCCTAAATTGAACAAATCGACACCCCACCCTTGTCCCTCCAGCCGTCATTTCCCCTTTATTCCAGTCTGCATCAAGTTCCGATTCCGGATCGGAGTCGGATGACGAAGCTCAAGCTGCTCTCGAATTACAAACCCTAGAAACGGAGCTCTCGACAAGGAGCAGCGAAGCAGCGGTGCAGGTGAGTATAAAAACTATTAGGAGACCAATATGTTTCTCCAAACCGAAGAATTCGATAGGTAATCATACTAATTAATTAATCATATGATCTTCTCCTTTTCTCTTTGTTGTTTAAACTTGAATCCATTGTTTTCTTCTGCAATTTCTGAAATACAATTGGGGCCTCCAAGGGAGGATTATTTTCCGGCTACTGTGATTCAAGTTCGTCGGACGCAACTCAGTCGGCGGCGGCCTCCAAGGGAGGATTATTCAAGAGGAGATAATGAAACTAGAGTCTCAAAAATCAGAATCTAGGGTTTATAATTTTGATCAGGACACAGTGCTCAAGTCAACAGAAAAATCAAAGAAGAAAAGGATTTAACAATCTCCAGATACAAGTGATTCAAGGACCTTTCCGATTGAAATTATTGAAGTAAGTCAAAGTCTTGAACTGTTTTTATGTACTCTCATGATTTTATCTCAAATTGATGATTGTGTTACATTGTTAATTAATAGTTAAAAGTGTCATACGTGGGAGAGAATATAGCATTGGTGAGTTTGAAATGCAGGAAAAGAAGAGACACGATGGTCAAGATTTGTGAGGTTTTTGAATCTTTGAAGCTCAATGTTGTCACTGCCAACATCACTGCTTTTCTTGAGACTCTTTTCAAGAAACTCTTCATTCAGGTTTGCACTAGAAAACATACACTTAAGTGGTGTGTTCTGGACTGAAAACGAAGAAGAGAAGGATTGCAGGGGTATTTTTCTTTTGTATTAAATATTGATTGTGAATCGATGTAGAAAAGAATAAAGAATGGAAGAGTGTTTATGTAGATGATTCAATGGATGATATTGGTGAGATTCCAATTCTATTGGAATGGAATCACGAATTCCAATTCTATTGGAATGGAAAGACGAATTCCAATTTTGTTGGAATCACAGATGTTGATGCTTGAAGAACATACCACAAAATTGAAACAGACCACATTACTCTTGTAGAATGTATTCGTCGTTAGATTTTGATGTTTTCTCTCCCGTTTTAATTGTTTTTTAGTTTTATTCCTTAACAGTAAATGTAATTTTCAACAATTGTTACCCGTATTCTATAAGAAATAATGTATTTTTTGTTTTTATTCGTCAATTGATTATTCAAGGATTTGTTATTCTACTAGAAGTTTTTAAATTCATGATCAAGAAATAGGTTCAAGAATATTTTTATTATTTATGGTTCAAGAATATTTTTATTTTTGAATATACTCATAAAAATATTATGTCAGAATGTCCGAATTAGAAAAATTATAATACGTAAAATCAGATTTTTAAAATTAATAGAATTTATGATCCCTTAAAAAATGTAATTTTCCTTTGTTAAATCTATATTAATTGAATAAAGTACCCTTGTAATTGATTAAGATGATATTTTCAATTATACTTAATTCAATAATATATATTAATCACTTTCTTAAAATAAGTAAACTTGATTGGCCCATATTTATGCATACAATAACACAATAATTACTTTGAATAGAATAACCTAGACCTATATATATATATATATATATATATATATATATATATATATATATATATATATATATATATATATATATATACACACACACACACACCAACACACATAAGAGACAGTTCATTTGAGATTAAAAAATAGAGATCTTGAGATTCAACCTCAACCACATATTTCATATTTGTCGTTCTAATGCTTCAACGTACATGCAACAGCTAGATATGTCTAATCATAAATGATTATATGACAAAGAGATTTAATTATATATGATTATAAATGTTTATACATATATGCTTAATAATATATGATTATAACTGTTGGTGGCAAAAGAGATAGTGGTGGAAGAGGTGACGGTGGTATAAGTGACGGGTGTGGTAGTGGTGTGGTTGGCTGGTGACAGTGGTGCTCGTAGTCGTGGTGGTGGTGACAGTTGTGGTGGTGGGAAGGTGGCAGAGGTAAAGGAACCGACGACGCTACATAATCATTTATGATTATAACTAACATGCAACACCGGTACGCAAGAGGGTTAAAACGATAGATGTGAATTATATTGCTGAGATTGAATCTCGAGATCTCTATTTTCTTTTGAAACTCGATGGAACCTATATATATATATATATATATATATATATATATATATATATATATATATATATATATATATATATATATAAAAAGTTATGAGTTTTAAATGTAAAATTACATAGTATACATTAAAATTAAAATATATGAATTTATATGCAAAATGGCATACTTATTTGTAAAATAGTTTATTTATATTTAAATATATGTATTTTTTGAAATGAGATTTTGTAAGATAATAGATTGTTTCATTGATAAATAGTGAGGTTAAACATCATATAAATAGAGTTACATAAGAGACTTAATTTAAACCCTAAAGGGCTGGACCAAAACCCTAATCACTAACATCCCTGTAGTTTGATCAGGAGGGGATGATTAAACTAGAAAAACAAAACATAAAACATAACATAAATGAAGACAGCGGCAATGGTGGTGGCAGAGCTCTAACGATGACGACTAACAACTGCTTGTTGGAGAAGGAGAGAGAACAAGCGACGACCAGCAGCGACTCTTATGTATAATAAGAGAGGAGCGGCGGCGACGATAACGATCATGCAACCGGTGGTAGAGGGGTTCAAAGAAAGGCAGCGAGAAAGAAAGAGTGCTTGAGTTGCGGCGGACGGAACCAATTTCGATGAGATCAGCGACTACAATAGTGATAGAGAAACAACGACTACATATCAGAGGTTGCCCCACAAAGAATGTGCCATTGGAGAGAGGCAGCTGCAACATCCGAAGAGGCTGAATCGGAAAAGAGATCTAAAGAAGTAGCCAGCCGAGGAGGAGGCGGAAGGTGAAGAGGCAGAAGTACAAGCCGATAAAAGGTCTCTGGTTTGGTGTCATTCGGCTGTTTTATTATTTAGGCGGAGAAAAGAAGAAACGGAAAAATAAGAAACATAATGATGGCACCTCCGACGACTATTAGAGAAGGTCGTCAGAGGTGGAGGGCGGCGGCTACTGGTTGTGGTCAGAAGTAACGGTTTAACTTAGAGCTCTAATACCATATAAGATAATAGATTGTTTCATTGTAAGCAATGAGGTTAAACCTCATGTAAATAGGATTACTAACAGTTTTATTTAAAAAAATTATGTACGATAATTGTAAAATGTGTAGAAAAAAAAAGATTAGTGACTAAATTTGTAGAGAAAAAAGAAATTAGTGTCTAAATATGTAAAATAAATAAATAAATAAATAAATAAAAAAAATAAAAAAAAAAAGTTTGTGGCTCAATGTATATATAAAAATATATATTAATGGTCTGTCATGTACTTTTTGAACAATCTAAAACACAAAAATAAGCTCAATAACTAAATATATACAGAAATTTAGTTACCATTATCTTTTTCTTTAACACAATAATATTTTGTAAAAAACAATTAGTTTGTTACCATTTGCCATATTGAAACAAACCCTTGTGTTCATAGTGCTGCTGCCAACTATTTTTCGCGTGAGGAACTGTTTGAGATAACTGATCAAATTTCTCTTATTCCGATATTGAATTTAACTTGCATTAAATTTGATATTTGCTGGTAGAATTCCGTAGTTTTTTTCTTTTTATTTTTTAACTGCTTTAAATTTGAAGCTAAACATTCACCAACTGGGGGAGAGACATCTTTTCATACACATGATACCATTAGGTTATTAAAATTCCATGTAGTTTAGAAAGTACCTTCAATTAGCTGTCCACATGGTAGATTTAGTGGCAGTGGTGGTGGCGGACCAATTGGAATCGCGATTTGGTTATGCTGCTGCTGCATCTGGTCTGAGATGTTTACTGATAGCGGTGGGAGTGACCTCTGCATATATCTCTCGGGCTGCTTAGTGCTTACTTCCCTGTGTACTGATAGTAAGCATGAGTAACGGAGATACAATCATAAAAGAATGAACTTAGTAGACGATTTATTGAAAATACCTCAATTTATCCAACTGATTGAAGTCGTACCAACAGAACTTTTTTTAGTCACTGTGAATGGATTTTTGAACGAAGAGTTAGACAAGAATTTATATGCGGAGTCCTCTTGGGAAGTCAACGTACATAAAAGTCGAGGATAATTAAGTTGAGGAAAATGCGTTATATGCACGTTATTAAAGGGGAATAAACAAGTCCTATATAATCTCTGGGACGGTGTAAAGTCTTTTATTATTACTTTCGTAGGTCTTTTTTTTTTTTTTGTTTCGAATGATTAATAATATACTGTATTTATTTGATAAAAAATTTTATCACTCATTAACGTTGTTTTGAATTGGTGTTTATTTTTTATTAAATTATATTTACTCTACATTTTATTTTTATATTTTGTAATTTTAACTAATTAATTGATTTCTTTTAACTTTAATATCAAGTACTAAATTTGTAACAATCATGTAATGTATTTATTGTTTTATGTTTTTACAATCATATTAATCAATTTTATTCGTTTGATATTTAGAACAACCGATGTAGTTATATATTTCATTTATGCTATAGTTGTTATCGTCAAAGTTCTAAAGTTTGTCAAAATATGATGGTTGTGTTTCTATAATGATTTTAGGTGTGGTAATGCCTAACATTTAAGTGTTTTTGTTAAATGTGTTAATTTGAAGGTTAATGGTCTTGTAGCCTGTAACATTGCATACATGACCTTCCATCTTCTTCTCACGGCACCCCCTCCCCCTATTTTTTTCTTTTAATTGCAGCCACCAAGATGAGGAACAATGTAGGTCAATATCGAGAGCCAACCCCCTCTTCTTCTTCCTTTTTTTCTTGAGTTGTAGGTTTCCAAGAGAAAGAGCAACAGGTTTATGATGGTAATTCAGTCGCCCTTCTTCTTCTCTTTTGAATTAAACCTCGTCTACAATGAATTGGAAACATTCGTCACTTTTATCAGGGTTTTTCCCACATAACCATAGCCCTTCTTCCCCATACCCCGCCCTAGTATTTCCCCCCGCCACTGCCATGAAACCCAGCTCCTATTATTGCCCCTACTTGTTCATCACTACCAATCCACTAGCAAGCTACGGTGATGGTGGCTTTAGACATATATGCAAACTTCGGTAATGTAACCCACCTCTCACTATCACCCATAATTGCTCTTCGTTATCATCTCCTTCACTTCTCTAATATCCAAAACGTGAATCATGATGAAACAATAAAATATCGATAGATTCTATATTATGAGATGAATCAATGACAAGGTTTGACAATGATTGAAAGTGAGCCAAATGTATTAATCACAACAATAGAATAGTTCTTGGAGGCAGAACTATTTTGTAATTGATTCAAAAGTTGTAACCCTAGATGTTAAATGCACACTATATATAGACAATATAATACAACAATTTCGAACATGGACAGGCCCCATTTCGGAATCGTAATTAAACATAAATCTGAAAACATACATTTGACACAACACTAAATTAGACTTCACAATCTCCCCCTTTGTGTCAAATGGAAGGAGATCTTCATCATTGTCTTTGCGTGTCAAAAATCTTTAGCATAATCTTCAGAAGTGAACCTCGGACAGACAAATACCAACGAATCATGTCCGAAACGCACTTAACATCCACAATAGTGTTGGATTTGTTTGCTTCAGCCCTAGAAAGAATGGGTCAGAGCACTTATGGAATATAAATGCTTATCCCTTAGATAGAACATGCAATTACTGATCACTTCTCCATCCTTCGTCTTGTATACAATGCTCCAGTGCTTCGAATGAGCCCTCCCTTCAGATGTTGGATATCTTCCGGTTGATCTTGTGGAATTAATATCGGTCTCGTTTTTAGAATAGAGGAAATTTCCACATCCATTTTCATAATTTGCAGAATGTAACACTTGACCAACCACTTCAAGTGCTCATAAATGGGATCATACGTCTTCACATCTTTCGCAACAATATAAAATAATGAGATCTAATCGGAAGGATTCATGAATCGCAGATCATCCAAAGTGAATTCGTTTTGAACAAGATTGGCACCTCAGAACCCTGTGAACTATATATTCAGAAAATCTTCCATCTGAACTGGTAAGCCAAACTTCAATCCCACAATCCTTTTTAAACTCTGCAACTCATATTGCAGTTTCGCATATTTCAGGTAAAACTAGAAGAGCATTTGATTTACTGTTTTGTTGGAGATAAGAGATTTTTCAATCTTTTGAAAGCATCTGAAAAGAAAGGCTCCTGGAGTCATGGGCAAATCTAATTGACACTCTATGTCATTGTTGGTGTCGAAGGAGGTGATTAGCTCCAACCAATAAAGATTAGGATCATCAATGGCTTCCTTTTGAATATGTTTAAAAGACCAGGCAGGAAACAAGGATTTATGAATTTTCAAGAATCAGGCTTGAATTTTTAACATCAGCCTTTTCAGCCTCAAGTTTCTTCCTGAGAGCATTGATTTCGTCAAGCTCTTTGTCTCTACTTTCTCTTGCTTCCTTTTCCGATTCAGTCATTATCGAATTTTTTTTTCAGAATCCTCTTCGGGAATAGCTTTTCCCTTATCTTTTCTTGATCCAAAAGCTTCATTATCCTTCTGATCAGCCACCTTTTTCAAGTTTTCCTCCTCTTTTCCCCCTTGTTTCGAAAAAGCATCGCTTCCTGAAACAACCTAGATCTGATTTAGCGATGCGAACACAAGACTAGGGATAGGACTGATTAGGGTTAAGTAAGGACACTTAACCCATTAAGGACTTAATCACCTAAGGGTAGGATTGATTAAGGTTTGACCTAGTCATTCTCGGGAATAATAATAATCCAACCAACATCCCAAATATGCGCCCCGATCATTGTCCAAAGTAGGGCTTCATGATTCTAGGGTTTTCCACATAAAATCATAACTAGGGTTAGTGTTCCACACTTAACCCCTTAAGGACTTAGTTCATTAAGTCCAATATTGTATTAAGTTAATTTTAGAGTATTACCGAGTATAATTTAAAGTTCAATTAACAGTTCTAACACGGGTCCCAAAAAAACTCCAAAATTAGGGTTTCCTTGACGTTAGGGTTTTCTAAACCCTAATTAAAGTTTCTAACCCAAACACATGTCACTTGCACTAAAGTTAGATGCTTAGGTAAAATTAATGTGTAATAAGTCGTTCACCACCCACTGCCACCTCAGGCAGTGGTGGTCGGTGGCAGTTCATGGCGATACCCACCTACACACGACAATGGTGGCAGATTCGAGTGATAAATCAAATAACCAAGCGTACACATAAAAGTTCCTACATCATACATACACACACAAACACCAAAACGAATAAAAAAAGTCCAATACAGCCACCATGATGGTGGCAACAGGTGACAGCCACCACCTCACGATGTTGGTGGTGGGTTTTCTTCAATTTTACGGCCAAGCAAACACATACACACTGTAGTGGTGTTGATTATGATGGCATGTGCGGAATATGAAAGATCTAGTGAATCATCATGTAAAAATCAAGAACACAAGGAGTAAATAAATCTTTGTAAGCTCATATTAGATCTAGAAAGAATATACAAATGGGTTTGTACAAAGTCTCTCTCTCTCTCTCTCTAGTGTAACACTCCAAAATGGTTCCTTACATATAATGAGTGCCACTTACTTCCTTATAAAGTAATGACAACTCATTACACATGCAAGTGGGTAAAGCCTCATCCAAGAGTGACTTTGCACCCTAACATTCTACCCCTCAAAGTTAGGATTAGATGCCCAGCTTCAATATCCAACGAGCTCGTGCGATCAAGACCAAACTCCCCATCAAATTAACACTGATCTTCAAATCCGCAAATGAATATCTGATAAACTCGCTTTGAATACCCATCATTCTCCCCCTTTTATAATCAAAAAATGATTATAAAACGCATTGAATCAACAACACAATACTCCCCCTCAAAGTTGGTTATGTTATGCCAAACTGTCGAAAGTTTTGGGACTGTTTTCGAAACCTTTATGCTTTCTTCCCATAATTCGTTTCCTAGTAACGAAAATTTCCATCTCTTTCTCAGCTTGTTAACAACTATCGAAAGTAATAACCAAGATATCAAACTTTCGAAAATTTAGTTTAGTTCTTAAGTTGAAACTTAATTCGAAAGTATAGACCATCAATCCTTTGTTGTTGACTTCCAAAATCAATATCAACCTAGTTGATATAAAACAACAATCCAACATTGACATCAAAGTAATCCAAAATCGAATAGAATATCACAGACTTCCCTTCTTGCAAATTGTCATGAACTGTATTCCCAAAAGAACTTTCGTTAACAGTTCACATCAATTGAACTTCCCAATATTATTCCACCCTTCGAAATTACATCCAGTAAACCCAAATCAATATTTTAACCCTTCATTATTAAACATTCAATTCAACTATCAGTCTTCGTTTTCTGTTACACAACCCAAAACAAAAATCGAATACTCAAAACAATTCGTCACAGTCGACATCAACAAAATAAACCGTTTGTGATTCAAGTATCGATTTCACATATCTTTAAATCTCAGTCAAACCCTTTTTTTCAACCTCGTTCATTCTTTGTTTTTAGATTCTCAATCAAGTCGATATCGACTCCCCAACTCAGTCGATAAACGAAACCACGTAAACCCAGTTATCGAATCCAACACCTTCCAAATTTTCAATCAGTCTTCATAGATCCTTGGCATCGATTCCAAATCAAAATCGATTCCCAGTAAAATACTTGATATCGAATCCCAGTAACATCAAACTCGTCGATTTCAATCAGTCCTTTTCCCAAATCGATTATTATTCGTCCACAAACCATCGACTTTCGATCAAAATCAACTTCACAAAACTGATTTTAGTTGCAATCGACTCCAAAACAACTTCCAAACTGATAACGAAACTCGTTTGACCTCCAATTCATTTTCTAGTTCATCGGAATCCTAAGTTTGACTTTTGTTACTTTGACTTTTCATTCATTTGATGACAAACAACAAATCGAAACTTTTCTAAACAATTTTAGATCAAACCCATTAATTCATCAATAATCAATATGTTCTTCAACTGTTTTTGCGAGTACTTCAACAATCAATCAAAATTATTTTAAGATCATAGAACCAATTTGTCGACTTCTTAGCTTGATCATAATCGATTTTATGCTTGAACAAACTATATAAAATCGACTCACAAGACCAATTTAAACAAAAATGAAAAATTATTTGATGTTTGATCTAAACAAAAATATTTGGATCAATCAATGGGGTGTGGAACGGTTTTGATCCAGTGAGTCAAATCGATCAAAAATGAAAAAAAAAAAAAAAAAAAAAAAAAAAAAAAAAAAAAAAAAAACAACTTGAAATCATGGATGTTTTGGAATCCATTTAAGAATTTGTGATACCTTTTTGACTAATCGAGATCCATTTGCAATGAACAAATCGAATTTAGAAGATCTTGGTTCTCTTGTTGGAATGAAAAAATCTCCAAATCGAACATTGTACCACCCATGATGCGTGTTGTACCACTCGTTCTTCAACGATCCAAGAACATCTTCAAAAGAACCACCAACCCTTTTGGGTTTTGACTTCAAATTCAATGCAACATTTGGAGATTGTTGCTTTGGAACCCAAATTTGTTTCACGAATTTCGGCTTCACAATATTTGATGATTTTTGTGAGTAAACCCGCTTGTTTTTGCGATTGATCTTCTTCTTCTTTTTCTTTCTCATCTTTTTGCATCTTAAATATTTGACTTCATGAACAAACTCACTTTTGACAACATTAACTTTCTGAATTTGATTCAAATCTTTTGGAGTTTGATATTTGTTAATTTCTTGAATCATTTCCAACAGACTGGCCTCGGTGTCTAATCACACAACGAGTGAATACATATCGTATCATAATAGTATACAAGAAAGCATGATATCTAATCCAACAGACTGGCCTCGGTGTCTTCTACCCATAAGTACAGTGAGGAAAACTCACCTCTCAGTCTGAACAAATAATTGAATAGGACACTGCTCCGAATATCAG